TCGGGGGGGGCGGGGGCGAGGTGTGGCCCAGAGACCGCGTTTCGCCCCATCCCTAGGGAAAACACCTACGAGGCGACGCTGAGGGACGAGCACAGGACCAACAACTTAAGCGAGGGCTGGCACAACCGCTTTCAGGTAAAATTCCTGGAGAATGGCTGGAGGCTTGGGGTCCGGAAACTAACAATATTGTTTCTCGCCAGGGTGTCATCGGCAAAAATCACCCATCGCTGTACACTGCGCTTGGAGAAATCCAGAAGGAGCAAGCTGACACGGAGACGATGCTGCACGAGCTATCCCTGGGTCGCCGCGTCAAGGCCGCTCCAAAGAAGAAGTGGCTGGACCAGCAGCGACGCGTCAAGTCCGTTGTCACTGATTATGCTACTTACAAGCAAGAAGAAAGGGTCGTCGACTACTTGCGGACACTGGGACATCTCTTCACTCTCTAAAATTTTTTGGAATTTTTGATATATTTTTTTCATATACTTTGGCATTTGCATAAATTATTTTGGGAAAATTAGTTTGGGAATTATTTTTTGGGAACAAAAAAAATTGGAACCACAGTACTTTGGAATTTTTTTTTGGGGAAAAACGTACGGTAACCAGATGTTCTTCTTTGATTTTTTTAGCGCAAAAAAAGTTTTGGGCTCGATTCTCTACGCATAAACTTTGAGCGTTATTGCTGTTTCCCCTAAAACTGTTGTTCTGGGCACCATGTGACACTACTGTCATTCGCTAGGGGATTCCACGATTCACTCAGTTGAATGTGTTCAGCCCTACTTTTGTACACTAATAACTAAAACCTTCTTTGCTCGGGAACCAAAGATGATAAATTGATAAACTCAACGGAAATAAAAAGCTGGAAGACTTTTTCATTCTTTTTTGCGTACAGATCCCCTGAATAGGATTAAAACCTGAAAAAAGGCCATGTCACGTGGTCACTAAGGCTGTCACATAGTGTACTACGGGGGTACGAAGTGACACTTTGACTGGCCCATTCAACTCGGGATAACTCAGCAACCAAACAGATAAATTAGAAATCTCAACAGAAGTTTAAGGTGAAGAATCATTTTGTTCACCTGATACTTATGGATGTAATGTGATTGGTATTATTGGGTGACGGGCACTTAAAAAAAACCGTCACAGGGTACCCCACCTTCCCTTATTAGGCAAGCGTAACGCACCCTTGGACACTGACGTACCCCTCCCCAAAGTCCGGCGGGGAGCAGCGCAACTGGAATGGTGCCCTTGGGGCAGTTTGAAACAAAAGTGGATGGGGGTTAGAAACACAGCAATATCACTGGGAAAACGTTTTTTAATGTAAAAAGCGAGTATAATGATGGAAGTTCGTAATTCCAGATGGCATCAATGGAGAGTCGTATGTTTTACCGTGACTTGCATCAAAATGCAAAAATTTTCTGACTGTTGTATGTTGGAAACTTTGCGGGTCGAAAAAAGCCCTTTTTTTCAACTCAAAAAAAGTAATGTGTGTTAACAACTTTTGTTCGTCTCTCTGAGACGAATCCATTGCCATACAATTTTTCAAAAAATTCGCATTTTGAAAAAAAATGCTTTTTTTGGGTTTTAAATAATTATTAAAAATGTTGAAAAAGTTCGTCAAAATGTCAGCACTTGCATGGCAACCCAGTCCAAAAAAAAAAATTGCATGGGATCCCATGACACAAATCCCCTGACAGCGCACTGAAATCCCATGAGACTGCGGTTCAGCACCCTGGACAAACGGCATGCCATGCAAAAAGGAGGTCGTTTCCCATGGTGCAGGCCTAGCACCATGGGGGGACCTTTCCCCCTGATGTGAACTTTTCCCTGGATTTGGACTTCCCGGGAAGGCATCCTGCTCGTGCGTTGAAGTCTCCGCCCAATTTTCAATTATAGGTCATATCATGTCAACGGTGCCCTCCCGACAAAAAATGATTGCAAAATCGGATGTAGCGTCAAAAGTTAAGGGGGTGACAGTTTACTTGTGAAGTGTTTTTTATCCCAAAACAGGCACTGATATCATCATCTTGTACTCACAAGAGACTCTGCCAAGGCAAGGAAGTGCTTCCCATGACTCACACTCCATGGTACCTTTCCCATGAGTCGCAAGACACCCTGAGAATTTTTCCAAAAATCACGGGGAATCGTTCCATGGAAAGAATCGGCCCATGGCATCCCATGCACCGCCATGGCTCATGGATGCCCCATGGTTTTTTTGGACTGGGAACGTTATTTGAGTCTATTTGAATCTATTGAGTTGTGTACGCGGCTTTCTTGGCCCGTGTTAAATTCCATACAGCTGTTTCAAACTGCCCCATCGCTGTTTCAAACTGCCCCGGCCTGGGGCAGTTTGAAAACAGATGCAAGGGTTGGAGTTTCACCTTATTATTAACGTTGAACGAACTTGTGAGCGTCTGCGGGCGTTTTCTAGTCTAGATAACGAGTCATTCTAGTAATCTAGTGCAAACACGCAGCATATAGACCAACAGTACGATTATAACAACGAAATTCCAAATTCTGTTTCAAACTGCCCCACCCTCCCTTACTAGTAACGTTATTTTGTGTAACCATGCGATGGTGTTAATTTTTTACATTTAATTAACATTGCACATGTTGCAGGTGGCCCTGATAACTTTGAAGCTGACTTTGCACCTTTGGAAGAGGAAGATGCGACCATTGTGGAGCCTCCAAGGCCAGTCCGTGATAAAAACCATTGTACAAATGCCCAAGAAGACTGTTACTAATAATGCCGCCAAAGCTAAAAAAAAAAGCAGGTAAACTTTGTTGTTTTTTAAATGTGTCTATACTTGCTCGCTTTTCTCTGTTTATAATGCTAAACATTTCTCTCTCCGTGATTAGGTATCCAGAAGTGGGTAGCAAGTGAGGATGCTGTCCATATGCTAATTAACGAGTATGGCAACCGCCTGCATAAATTTAAGTCTCAGCGAGTCCACAAATATCTTTGGCAAGAGATATCGGAAGTTCTCCATGCCAATGGCTTTCACTTGAGCGCTGATCAATGCAGGGTGAAGAAGGGCAGCCTCATGACTTACTTTGGGAAACTGAAAGCTACTCATGGTTTCATTGGAGCTGTGAAGTATCTATTTTATGATGGTCTCTTCCACATTGATAAGGGCGCCTGGCCTGAGAACTTCCTTTTAGGGCGCAAGTGTGCAGAAAAAGTTGTAACTTTGGGCGAGTCTTTTCTTCCTGTGGGGGTGTGCAGTACATCTCCAATGGATCAGTCTGAAATCCGCAATCTTCGAAATCTAAGACGCTTTCCAAGCACTTGCATGCTGTTACGAATCGCCCCAGCATGGGGTGGTTTACAAAGACCGAAATCGGGCTCATTGCTCGCCCGAAGCAGCCCGAGCCCGGACCGACGCGGAACGAAGCGACGGTATGATCTCGCCGCCGACTGCACGAGATCGCTCCAACGCGTCGTCGGTGAGTGCCGACCGCGCTCGGTCCAGATAGTGGTCGGGGTCGCGGGCGCTCATCGACGCGGTTCGGGTGGGTTCGGAAAGCTTCGGCAGCTTCGGCTCACATTCGGTCCGAAGGCGGTGGGGGGAGCGACTCGCGCTCGAGAAGGAAACCGACTCCGACATCATTTTGGTTATTGGTTCGCACGGCGTGGGCTCGTACCGACCGCATCGCTTTGTATTCGCTCTGTAATTATTGAACACCTTTTAAAAATACGTGAGCGATTCTCACGTTTCGGGGTAGTTTCGTTTCTTCTGACTCCTGTGCCCAAACGAGCGCAGATATCGACATAGGGTTAGTTTCTGATGTTAAGGATGGCCAATGCCCATTAAACGCACACATTTCGGAGAGTTCACGTTCGTTGGATTGGTCTACGTAGCGTTTGGAATACCCTAAATGTAACTTCCTTGATTGTCCAAAGAGAACATAAGGGAGTATGGGGCGATTTGTAATAAGTGAAGGGAGCAGAGGAAATTCTGAGTGTGGCCCCTCTTTCGCTACAAGTACAGGGTCCTTGAACAATCGAAGCGGATGTGATCGGTGCACAGGTATAGTTTTAGAGGGCGTCTGAAATATAGGGTACACCGGAATTTCGGCACAGGAAAAATCTTTTATTTTGAGTTCTAGGAAGTTTCTGTCTGAGGCTCCCCAGGTATGAATCACCATCTAAGTACCGTTGGGGCCTTGAAGCGTGCCCCCTTTACAATGTAACCACGTGGCATAATTTGTTTTTAATTTGCCCAGTGATAGTTAGGGACGTATTTCTTGCGTAACAGCCATTTCGGGTGATTCGTAACAGACCCGTATAAAAACAAGAATTTAAGCAGTTTTGGCAATTAAATGCTTGAATTATTTCTCGAATCATCTGCACTGTTCGGGATTATTTTGTGAAATTACGATTAATTGTCTGTTAAATTTGTACCACGAACTGCTCGTAAATTTAAAAAACGATCTGATCATCCACCTTTTTTTCGTCAATTTACAAAAATATTCTTAAACTTACAAACTTTATCCTCAAATTTTGGTCTTTCAGGCATTTTTTCTTCCTATATAGTAAGGAAACAACGGACGAAAACGCACTTTTTCAGACTTGCTTTTACAATCATACTTTTAAATTAACGATTTCACCTGTAAATTTTAGAAGCAGTTTGTAAAATGATGAACAGATTGTCAATTTACAATTTTCTTTGTAAAAAAAACCAGTGCAGTTCGTGGTACAAATTTAACAGGCAACTATTCTTAATAATAAAGCTTCATTTGTAAGAAAACAAGTTTACGCGTTATAAAACGAGAATAGTCGTAAGATAACGATTTTATCAGTAAAACGACGATCTTTCGTCAGTAACAATAAGATTTCATCGTAAAATTACGAATTTAATCATAAATTTATGAGTAAAGTTTGTCGAAAATATGACAATTGTTCATGTCATGAATCTTGTAGTTAATTTACGAATTATTATTTGTAAAATTACAACACTAATTGTTGGGATTACTGTTGTAAAATAACGACTTCTCTTAACAGTGTGCTGCCTTATACCAGTTCATTTACACAGCTCGAAATGCATTTTAAAGCAAGTTATTCTATACTTTTATCTAAAATTGAAGAAAAAGTGAGGTTAGGATTGACATAGCCGATCAGTTAATGCTGAGGCGGTCAACGGCAGCTTGTAATGTAGATTTTTAGACGTCTGCAGGACACCCGAAGAACAACTGGTGGAGGAGATATCATTCCCGACGATGGTTCATTTAATGTGTAGGATGTTATGAAAAGCCCCATGGCTGTTACAAATCACCCCATGCTGGGGCGATTCGTAACAGCATGCAAGGGTTTGGAAAACGTCTTAGATTTCAAAGATTACGGACTCAAGATTGATCCAATGGACCTGCACAGTCTAAATGAAGGGCCAGACTGTTCAACTGGCACAAGTTTGACACCGATATGCAGAATGTTCTTAATTTTGTATAGAGATAGAGAATTCCGAAATCTGGTACAAATCGCCCTATACTCCCTTGCTCTAACTTTCCGCCCCCAGTGTGGCGGTGTGGTTCGAAAATGCTGCCAACTGTCGATGGGTATTCGAAGCTTGGCATG